ACAGGGCGAGGGCTGATGGCGTGATGGAAACGCGATGGGGATATGGGCGGTGTCGGTGTCACGCTAAACAGCGATATCGTGAATATCAAGACAGAGAGCAAAGATCCGCAGCCGACCATTCGCGGCTGATGAGCAAACACGACGTTCGTTAAACCCGAAGGCATCACATTTGGAGAATCACTCGTGAGCTGCGACGTCGCTCGCGCTCGGCGACAACGTCGACAAATATCTTCTGCACCTTCGTCTTCGAACTTCGAGAGGATGAGAGTGTTCCTAGGATCATTCTTCGATCCCAAACAACACGGAAGTCTAAGACTCAATCGCGCGACAACGCTCCCAACGGTGTCGGTAAGCTCGCGCTTGGGAATTCCGCGGTTCCTTTCGAAGCTGAAGGCTTGCCTATCGCGTGGACAGAATAGGATAATTTATTTGACCAAAGTTACTGTCCAGAGACGTCAGTGCAGCCGTTGAAGACGTCTGAACGACGTCCTGGAAATCAGGACGTCGCTTAGAGATCTTCGTTGTGTCTCCTATTGTCACGGTCGTTTCTCGAGAAAACGATAGATTTTCTCGTTTACTCGATTTATTTGACTCGATTTATTCTCTACACGGGGGAAAAAGGATTTGTTGTTAGAACTAGAAGAAACTTTGCTAGCTTTGCAAGTCTACAGTCGTAATATTTAGATATTTGTTTGTAGAATGGTTTGACTGCTATTTTTTGGATGCATTTCAGAACCGATGCACAAAAGAATTTGTCCCTAAATAGTTATCAGAAGATAGGTTTTCTACTGGATGTCGAATATATTTCGAAATGCGTCGAAAGAAAAAAAAATATTCATACTGTTTCACTAACGAATAGACAATTTTCTATGTTATTAAAGAGTTACGTAAGATTAGTGATGGTGACTAATAAAATTTGATATTATAACACGACAGATTTGTTGGTACAGTAAAGACTATTCTCTTTACCAAAACTCAAATCTAACAATTTTTTGATATCATTAATTCTTTTGTTGTCGCATCAAAAAATTTGATACATTAACGGATTTTATAGTAACTAATAATTAATTAGTTCAGCAGTGAGAACTATCTGCAGCAACAATCCTCATAGAAAATTATTTTATGTACCCATCTTGAGTAATGTTGATGCACAGGTGTTAATATAATTCCAACTAAGTAGAATTACCTCATCGTGTGTAAAATGAACAAAAACATTTCTTCATCGTCTGCTGAGAAAGTGCGACGTGATCTTTTCAATAAAATTAGCAAACTTATTTCACAAATTTAAATTACCTCGAAAGACGAAATGATTTACCGTAATAACTAAGGTAATATTTACAAAAACGGGATTTTTTACGAGCGAGTTAATGATTGTTTCCACACATCATTTCTTTGCTGCACGAGCAAATCTATTCGGTTACAACAATAAATAACCTACTAATTAAAAGATAAATTTAATTGAAATATACTACCTAATTAAGAAATTTAATTTTATGCAGTAAATTATAAATTTGCATAATCAACCACTCCATTTTCCCCGTATGCATATATGAAGAAAAAACTAAGTTAACATGACAATGAACGAATCAAACACGTTTTGATTGAGGAAGACAAAATTTCTGGTTATTATGAATCAAATTCAATTCTAACAACTAGAAATTCTATTTTCTTCAACTAAAACGTGTCTGTTTCGTTTATTGTCATATTAAATCAATCAAATTAATCATTTTTTTCCATGCATATCCTAGACTTACAGAAATAGACTGCGCATTTCCACTAAAGGGCTGAAGTCAGCATTAGTGAAAGATGGAAATGGAGAGAACATTGAGAAAAAAATACTTGAACTTTTATTTGTGAGATATAAATTTTATTTCTGCGAACAAACTTCACATTCCACAAATAAATTTGTTAAGTATCTTTTTTCAGTGTGAAGTGTTTTATTCTTGTCTATTTAGTGAGAAGAATGAAGAAGAAACGATCATACAGTCAATGCGTCCTCTCTTCCTTTCGCTGTGTTCTATTCTCTCTTTTGTTTCCCTACCTACAGTACTGTATGACAGAGAAAGCATCTTATCAGTATATCTCTGTCCTTTATTCTTGGCTTTAGCTGTCTCACAAGAATGCGCAGTTTATTTCCATAAGTCTACGATGCACATAAACAGAAAATTCCAACTTCCCGAGGAACAGTCGTGACCTCACAACCCCGTAAACTTCCGCATTCTCCAGAATCGCACACACACACCCTCACAGAGACGCGGTCGCGACTCCTAATAGGGCACATGAATATCCCTGGAGCGCGACCGTCCTCTGCAGAGCCTGCAAACGGCGATGAAGCACGCCAAACCCAAAAGAATAGCTAATCCGGCGCCGAGTCCAGCACCGGCCCAGCCGGCAGGCCCGGTGAAGCCGCCGCCGTTGCCGTTCACGGGGCCGCCGCAGGTCTCCACTGATTCGTCATCCGGCTCATAGAAGGTGCCGTTGAGGATAGTCGCGCCCAGACCGATCGGCAAGCCACGACTAGGGCAGTTAACGACACCATTGCAGAGCAATCTCGCTGGAATACAGCCGGCGTCGCCGGGACATTGGAAGGCGCAGTCCTCGAGTTTTTGAGTGTTGAGTGCGCCGGAGCCGTCCCTCGGCAGATGATAGAGCTCAGTCCATGCGATCTTGAAAGCCGCCCTGGCCGGCGCCATAGAACCAGTGAACTGCACGATCACCGCCGGCGACTCCTCGCTGCCGTCGACCGCAGTAGCACCCGGCGCCGCCGGGTGGTCCGTCGTAGGCGCGATCTGCGCCGCCGAGATGATCGGCATCTCTCTCACGTAGCTGACGTTCTCACCGCAAATGCCGAGGTACGGCTCGGCGTTGCCGGGCAAGAAGATTTCCAGCTTGCCGTCTTCGCAAGAGCGAGACGCGAACTTAATCTTGTCAAAGTGCAACCAGAGATCGCGCTCACGGTTTACCCGCAGCTCCCAGATGCATTTGATCGTCCTGGGCGGCGTGACGTAGCCCAGGGCCTCGTAATGCGGGAACTCGATCTCGCCGTCGGTGGTGGCCGGCAGCAAAGCTGGTCCGCAGAGAGGACTATGTGCGAATTCGTATCTCGCTTCGAACAGCGGCGCAGGCACTTTGAAGTAGCTCGTGGCCGCATGAGTCCCATCCACCAAGAGCTTCAGGTCCAACCTCTCGCCGCGAGACACGACCCTGAGCAAAGGTGGCCGCGCTGGGGATGAGGTGGTGGGCGCCGGGGTGCCGTTATTGCTAGATCGGCAAAGACAGTGGCCCTTGATACCTTCGGGACTCGGTTCTCTGATGATCACTCGGTCCACCCGGCTGTCCCAGCAATGGCCGCATTGAGCGTACGGGTGGTCCTTGAAGGATATCGAGTCGATCACGAGGATTACTCGAGCGTACAGTCGCTTGTCCGTGACGAAGCTGTAAGTGCAAGAGAGATCGGCGGGTGGATCGCCTGGTCTTTTGTAGACCAACGTGTTCAGAGGCGACCGTAATCTGCCGGATCGCGACTTCCACGAGGCAAAAATCTCGTCGCACTCAGTGCCGGCCACCGGCTCGCCGAATCGCGTCGCGTTGAAAAAGTCGTAGTGTGCCCAATAATAGAGCGAGCTGCCGGAGTAACTACCGGTCTTGCTCTCGAAGCGCACGAACAATGCGTTCGACGTGGACACGAAGTCGTGCTTCTCCATCGGCTTGCTGAAGGTATCGCAGAAGGTCTTGATGATGCGCGCGTCGTCCGGCCAATCAGCGTCGTAGAGCGTCAGGCTCTCGCCGCAGTCGCCGTCGTACGGTTGAATTGGCGACTCGATGCGGTTGACACGAAAGCTGGGGAAGTAGAGACGGGCGATCTCACCGGGTCGGCCGCGCAGCAGGTAAGTGCAGCTGGTGTGCGGCGGATACCAGTGCGCCACCGACAAGAAGATACCCTCGTTGCCGCTCACGAGGGACTCGCTGTTCAGCAACCAATCGCAGCTGCCATTCTTCACGCCCGCGGTCTCCACGTGACCCGGCCAGTTGCCCACGTTGAAGTGGAAGCCGGTGTTGAGCAGCGGCCCAGCTGGTGACGACACGAACTCCACATACAGATCCTCGCTGGTACCGATTATGCTGTACGGGAACTTGCCCATGCCGCAGAAGGTACCGATTGTCGGGCTGCTCTCGTTCTTACCGTCGTAGACGCGTATGTAGTCGTACGGACAGTGTTCCGAACCGGAGCTGATCGGTCGCATCGGGCAGGTCATGATATTCTCGCATCGTTGCCCGTCGATATTGAACTCCTCGTTCTCAATATAGAGCTTGATGAACGGCAGCCGCGTGTTCAGCCGGTACTTGCAGTGCAACGCGCGCGGGTAGATGCCCGGATACGCCGGGCTTTGCACGTAGCACGTTTGCAGCCGACAGTCCTTGAAGACGCGCTCGCAGTAGCTGCCGGGCACGATCTCGCCGCGACGGTTCGGGTAGAGCTCTGGGTGCTGGCCATACCTCAGATAGACCTCGAACTGCTGCTCAGCGCGCGAATCGAAACTGAAGTACGTTTGGTCCGTAAAGTTGTCCGCGTGGAAGAGCACCCGCACGAAGCTCGTCTCGGAGATGAAGGTCTGCGGCTGCTCGGACTCGCCGCAGTAGACGCCTGGGTCCTTGCGATTGCTCACCTCGGTCTTCGTGTTGCCGTCTATAATCTGAAACAACGGCCGAAAGACTCGCTCGCTCGTCGTCGTCGTCATCATTGTCGCTACAACGCGCGCATCCCGCACGTTCGGTGGACATAATAAAAGGATACACCGCGCTCGGTAATGCTAACCTAACCTAGGAATGCTGTGGATAGAACGCGATTTCGAGCAGACTCGAGCGAGCAATGAGAGAACTATGTTGTTTATAGTTTCGCAGTTCACGCAGTATACCGCGACAAGCAAACAAACGATGTGTCTGTGCAAAAGAGATGAATGAATCCGAAGGAACCGATAAGAATTTACATAGGAGGTCCTCCCACGAAGACGCATGCACGTGACTGATGGAAGTCGTAGTCTTGCTTGCACGACGATCAATTATATCCCAAAAAACGGGATCCTCAATTCCGCGCCAAGTACATCGCCTCTCGAGTCTCCTCGCGAAAGTAAACGCAGCCGAGATACCGCTATTACTACTCACCCCTGTTTATCAGGGTAAATTTGAAAGTTGGCGGAGCGATGGAGAAGAGGAAATACGGAAAATAGAGAGCACAGAGAGAGCACGGGGGACGGAATCAGGAAAAGAGGGAAAGGGAGCAAAAGAGAGAGAGAGAGAGAGAGAGAGAGAAGGGGAGAAAGGAAAGAAAGGAGAGGAGAGAGGTTTACAGCGTCACAAAGATCAATACCTGATACCGAAGTAACTGAGAGAGGTGGCAGGACGAGTGCGCCCGCGCGCGCGCGCGCTCGAAAGAGGCAGGTGGAGGGAAACGGAGGAAGGGAGAATCACTTATCGCGTTCGTCTATACGGGAATGCTCTAATTCGCATCATTGATACGGCTGCTTATCTCCCTCTCTCTCTCTCTCTCTCTCTCTCTCTCGCACGCGTCGTCTGCACACACGCAGCCACCTCGACGAAACTAAATTTAGAAGCGTTCCCGCCGATAATTGAAGGGGGCGTTAACACGAGACCGATCCACTCTACCGTTAACGTTCTTGCAACACAAACAAGCTCGCGAATTATGTCGTCGATATCCGCAAACGTTATCGCGCTCGATGCTCCGCTGCCGCGAGCAGCTGCGGATAGAGTTCAGTTGCCAAGGCGCACGAACGAACTCTCTCACAGACTCCCACCGCTTCTCGAGCCAGCGAACCTCAGGAATTTCCCGTGTCGTAATCCCTGTTTTGATCCATTTAGTACCAAAATAGCGGCGTGCAGCTCGAAGTAAGAATAAAATCCAGCGGGAACGAAAATATCGGGTGCTAGTGGACACATCGACGCTCGCGCGACCACCAATGCGTAACTCTTATGGATTTGAAATACGCGCATTCCAATGTATCGTATAGCCACGGCGCATATACAAGGTGTCTATAAAGTCTGTTCGTATCCTCTGTATTTTGGGAATAGCTGAAAAAATGAAGAAATGCCAAATCATGTGTTTTTTTTTTAATTTTCAGAGACTAACCTTTCCACCGAAAAAATTCTCCTTCAAATCTCCCTGAACATTTCAAATTTCCTCAGCTTGGCTTAGATCTCTTTCAAGATTTTTTCTTGGCAATATCCAGAATTTTGACTAAAGGACCAATCATTGTTTAATCATCTTCACCCTCCGAGAGAAAACAACAACGGAGCTTTAAGGTGTTTATCCTTCTTGAAAAATTAAGGGAGGTCTGAATATTGAGTTTCTTTAGATAGAACTAATAATTCCCTCAGGAGGAATTAAAACAGAAATAGAGTTTGGTGGAACCACTAAACATGAACTTTTTTCCACTTCTCTGCGACCCTCTTAGTTCGAGTAAAAAATAGAAGTACAAAAGCCATTTTTGAACTTTTAACGGGAATAACGTTGCGACCCCAAACTTGCGGTAGAATTTTTCCTTTAATAAAACATTTTGAACGAGGTATTACGTGATTCCCCTTGCCACTTAAAATTTTCGAGTCCACGTCTTCCCTAGAAGGCTAAAGGAAATCTTCTTCAGTAAAAAGTTTAATCCAAATAAAAGAACACGTATTTCGACATTTCTCCATATTTTCAGCCATTTCCACAATGCAAAGGATGCGAATAGACTTCAGGGACACCCTGTATATATATCCGCATGTATTGGTCCACAATTCAAAGAGATACGAGCACCATCGATATCACCACTCCCACCTCACCGCCACCCCAATCGCCAGTCGTCCCACTGTAGCCCTCCTCCCTCCCCGTCGCGCAGCGTCGGTATCTAACTTGAATCGAAAGAATAATCTAGGAACGCTATTGTCGAACCAAAATTAAATTCCAGCGCGCGGCTAATTGGCTGGATTCTCCCTATTCAATTAATAGAAGTACGAAGCGAGCTATAGCCAACGGGTGAGGGAGAGGGACGGGAAGAGGCGAGGGGCGAACACTGTAGGGGACAGATGAATTCAGCCGTTCCCGGCTGCGTTCGATTCTGCGATTCTCGAAATTAGGAGCCCGCGTTGTCCGCGACGCGACAAACGGCGCGGAATGCACAAAGTGCTACGGGCGTGAGCGAGCACTCACCTGCAGATATCCGCCGCTGCAGGTAGTCGCGTTCTCCAGCACTCCGACCTTAAACTTCTTGAAGCGAACCCGCAGAATCCAGTCTCGGGGCGTCCCGCGAAAGGCACGGAAGCGGTACCAGCACGAGAGGGGCTTACCCCAATTTGCAGCGGTCACCGCCGGGCTCGACACATCCTCATAGATGTCCACTGTTTTGTTGCAGTGGCCTCGGTCCACTGAAACAGAGATGTTTATAGCGCGCGCGGAAGGTCGCGCGTCTGGAAAGTTTGTCTTTCTTTTTTTATTTTCCTTTTTCGCCGTGAGCGCACTGATATCTTAATCTTAACTGACTGAAAATACACGGCACGTTATTGAACGTTCGATAGAATACGTTGACAAGTGTTATTATAGAATAGTCGATTTCAAATCAATTGGAGAAACTGACTCGCATAACCAAGCTACTTGTCTCGCTAAGTATCGGATTTTCAGTGGCACATTAAAAGAACTACTCATAAATTTACTATTTATCGAATAAATTATAAATTATTCTACATATGTGCTTCATTATCTAAATAGATATTAGCCTGAAGCAAAGTTGAAATAAATACACAGGATATCTGACAATGACATATAAAACGTATACATATAAGTATACATGAGATCAAACTAAACAAAAAATTTCTCTACCATTTTGCAAACCTAACTATGTAAAATTTTGAGTTATTAAATAAAAATATTGCGTTATGACGATTAATGAGGAGAGATAATTTTATCAATCGACAGGATACCAAAGAATAAGCTCGAGATTTTCAAGTCAACGTGAAGATTTGAATCGGTTTGAAAAGAAGATTGAAAGTACATGGTACGTTATTGAACGTTCGATAGAATATTCCAATGCTATTATAGAATAGTTGATTTCAAATCAATTGAAGAAACTGACTCGCATAACCAAGCTACTTGTCTCGCTAAGTATCGGATTTTCAGTGGCACATTAAAAGAACTACTCATAAATTTACTATTTATCGAATAAATTATAAATTATTCTATATATGTGCTTCATTATCTAAATAATAGATGTTAGCCTGAAGCAAAGTTGAGATAAATACACAGGATATCTGACAATGACATATAAAACGTATACATATATGTATACATGAGGTCAAACTAAACAAAAAATTTCTCTACCATTTTGCAAACCTAACTACGTAAAATTTTGAGTTATTAAATAAAAAATATTGATGAATGATTAAGTGCGATACGATAGATGAATTGTGATGGTGACGTTTTCTGTTGTGTGCTTGTACATTAGTTCAAATTGAACAAGAAAGTTCTCTACTATTTTAGAAATAATTACGTAGATTTTATTAATTAAAGAAGGTTAGTAAACAATCACTCATGAGTAATTTAAAATTTTAGATGGTTGTTTGCAAAATGATGGAGGAATTGTTTGCTCAGTTTAAATTAATCTACATGCCCACGAGAATTTGATATGTTATCGTCATAAACACCCTGCATATACACAATATTATAAATATTATAAATACACAATATTAAAAATATTATTATTTTTTATTTTTATTAATGTTTTATTTGTATATCAATTGATATAATAGAGATACATAAATAAAAGAAAGAGGTATATAAGTTTAAATATGTGTAAATATATTTCAAGCATTATAATAAATTATAAACTTTTGCTATATCTTCGCAATAAAACGTCGATAATTATTAAATTTTTGTGCAATATCTGTATATTAGTCGTTAATATCATAACAGTTTTCATTAAAATCTCATCATCTAGTTTAAAAGTTATTAAAAATGGAAATTAAAAATATCACGTTAGCTCGAAAAAACACGTAAAAAAAGTGTCAACTTTTATTGCAAATATCTCAGCTCTCGAATGGTCAGTTTTTTTCTAATTGCAGTCTGATAATATTTCTATGTGTATGTAGTGTAAGTTTCATCCAATTCTCATCAAACTCGTCTCATGATATACCTTAACATCGAGAGTTGGATATTAAGTTGACTCTTTCTAAAATATACTTTTCAATTTGTACTAGTAATATATCTTCATTTGAAAATACTTTGTCTTTATCAACACTTATTTAGTGTTTACAAAAAAATATTTCTCAATTAATCTAGTATACAGAATATCCCAGACTTCGCAGTCTTAATTTTACTTAGAAATTTTTTAAACAATTTGAAGAGACAATTGCTTCTCTACGAAAATATAGAGAAAGAAATTATTATAATATTATTCACACATGACAATTTATCAATTTGCAATATAATATATTATTCTAACCTAGGTCTAAGGTAAACTTCTGTTCAAGTAAAATCAACTTGAAATTGATCAAAGGAAATAATTTTGTTATCTATTTAGTCATTCGAAGTTTAGTTTACGAAAAGCCCTGTTTTTTTATCGCTTATATCTCGGTAACTATTGATGCCACGTGAAGTTTCCGTTGAGGAAACATTAACTCTCTAGGGCTGCGTTCGTTTTGGCGCTTACAACGCTCTGAGCATCATTTCATCCTTGTTTCTATCAAATATTAAACAAAGACAAATGACGCTTATACACGCTATAAGCGCCAAAACGAACGCAGCCTATATTGCTCAGAGAATTTCTCGGTAAAATTAAAGTCGTGAGTTCTGGAACACATTGTACATTAAGTTAATTTTAAATTTTTAAATATATTAACTTTCAGATATAACCGCGGGCAACTGTGTTGAGGTGTTGAGTGACTTTGTTTCGATACAGCACAAAGTAGAGGTTAGAGTAATATACTCGCCATATTTTTCCTATCTTTTTATAAAAAATAACTAAGATTATGAAGAATGATACAAGGCTATTTCTTAAAAGTGCTGTAGCTTTCTTTTACTTAATATAATATTTAATAAAATTTCCATTCTTTTTCCACAAAGACTCGCGACTGGCGGAAATTTAATACTTCAAGAGGTGAATATAGGGCTGAAAACAAGAAAAAAAATTTACACCGACCTAGATGGTCTACAGACTCTTTTTTTGAGCTGAAATTACAGAGAATGCTCAAAGTCTCCAGTCTCCCCTGTAACACACACACTGCGACAGCAGTTCTGACATCGAATTTTCCGATGATCACCGGAAAATACCAAGGGATCTCTCGAATGATCCCAAATTCGTGGAGCATTTTCTCTCGCGTATCGCACATACATCATTGATGTATCCGCGCCAGCTCGAGCGTTATGACGGCCGACAGCGTTATATCGACAATCATTTCGAGCGTTTACTTTGATTTGTTTCAGCTCAAAAAATAAACCCCGGATGACGTGTGTCCGTATGATATATTTTTCCTGTTTTTTTCGCTGCACACGTTCACCTCATGAAATATCGACATTTAAGAATCGTTCTGTATACATTAGAACCGACATATTTTTCGTTGACTCGATTGGGCAATGGCTGGGGGTAATAAAGAGAGGGAGAAAGAGCGAAGGGACAATAACGGGAGAAAGGAGAATGGAAGGAGGACGGCGGAGGGTAAGACACGACAACACGCGACACAAGTTTCGGCCGTGTAATCGATATTCGACCCGCTTGCTAGATACCTCTTATAAAGCGGCAGCCTCGTAACGGCGGAGGCTAGGGCGCCTCTCGTCCGTAAATCACCTTTTCACGAGTATCAGCCCTTCAGCTCGCGCCGCCGATACCCGCGCGAGTAAATCACTCTAATGCGATGGTTAAGATTCGCGGCGTCTCGTCTGTTACGCGATAATTCGACCTGTTAGCCGCGTAATAGGGTTGCGATAATTGCTCCGGTAGCTCCGGGGGATAAGTAGCTACTGCTACACCAACCGAGATGAATCTTCATTAAAAAGGGGATTAAAGTCCGGACACGCGGAAAGAACACGCGGATTTTTTTGCGCCGGAGCAATTAATAGCACGCCTGCTCGGCCGTAACCGAACAGCCCAGCTAACACGGCAAAGCAACAGATTCATTTGCCGCATTAAATCGACTTAGAAATGGAAGCGATGTGACACGCGACGAGGTTAGTTCGCCGTTCGCGCCGTCGGTGCATGCCAAAGGCACAGAATCAATGGGGATGGGGGTGAGCGCGATGCAGAGTCGTACACTTGGTTGTGAAATGCTTTAGACACAACAAAGCAAAGAGCCCATCGAATTGTCATGATGAGTGGAGAGCCACTACTGGCAGACTTGCGCGGTAATCGATTATGACAAGAGCCAAAAGAGACAATATACGGCGTAAATATTGGTTTTTTATTATATCTTTATGTGATAGATGAGAGCACAATAAAAATTTAAACTACGAGATAGGCCCTTTAAGGGAGAAAATATCTTTCGCGGGTCAAAAAAGTCGACTTTGTATTGCATATTTTAAAAGTACATACTATTTTCATGAAGAAACTCAAAAAGTTGGCGGAGTTATATAAGACGATTATTGGCCGATTATTGGCCGATTATTGGCCGATTTATCTAAGACGATGCATAAGTCGGGGAAAATGCAACAATAAAAACGGAATGGGTTTCGAAAATATAAGAAAATATAAGAAAATATAAGAAAATATAAGAAAATATAAGAATCAAAATAACGACCTTATTAGATCTAGTGTAGGATTAAGAAAAGATGAGTGTTCTTTGAAATTGAAATCCTATTTCTTACGTATTTTAAGTGCGTATTTTGTGTGCGTGAATTTCTACAGAATGTCTATATTTAAGTGTATCGCAAAACTCGCTAAACTGAATAAAGAAATCTTCACTATTTTGTAAACATGTAAATTATGAAGATATTACAAAAATAAATTGATCAATCGACGCGCATGATGAGATGGAATGAGATTTGTAGGCAGTTTTAAGAGTGCGTTCGGGAAGCTCGCTACCGCGCTAAAATGCTATCAACTCTGTTCACAGAAGCAAGATAGCGCCAGCAAATGCAAGCTCCATGAACGCAATAGTGTAACGTTAAGAGGTCCCGTACACAAATTTCCGTAACCGTAGACGTAAGATGTAAACTTAAGCTGAACCAATCAGGATATTACTTTATCTTTGCTCGTGAAGAAGATAGAATTGCTAGTAAAACACTGTTATACAGAAGTAACTAGAACCTAACCGATTGAAATTCTAGTTACTCAATCTAAGTTCTAGTTATACCGTTATTTCTATCTTCTTCTAGAATACGCAAAGGTAAAGCAATATACTAACTGGTGGTTCAGCTTAAGTTTACGTCTTACGTCTACGGT